GCCTTCGCAGCCAAAAACGGAGCTCAGGAGCCCATTTTTGCTGGCAGAAGGTAGCAGGAGGCCTTCGCAGCCAAAAACGGAGCTCAGGAGCCCATTTTTGCTGGCAGAAAACTGGGGCAACCACAGGCACCCCAATATGAGTGATGTTGAGCTGGCCACACCCCTTGGCCACGCCCCATGCTCCACCCAAGTCAAACACAACCCTGATGCAGCCCACAATGAAATTGAGTTTGACACACCTCTTCTAATGCAACATACACACCTTAGAATTGATACTGTATATGTAGATATATTCCTCAGTAGCAACACAGACAGGAACATTAACTTAATGGAGTTTTTTCAGAGCAAAAAAAAAAATGGTAATATTTTAAAGAAAACCTTTCCTTAATTGATTTCTTTTGATCTTAAATGTTTTTTCTTAAGAGAAAAATGGGGCTCAGGAAAATATGTGCAATATTGCAGAATGTTTATCTTTTCAATAGCTTTTTTCTCTAAAACCTGTAATAATTTTATATTTCATTTTCATTCATGAATTAATGGATTTATTTACAAGATTCACTTTTATTGAACATAAACTATTTCAGTAAAATAGCATTTGGTGATACATTCCTCGCTGGCATTTTTTTAAATGACAATCCTGTTTAAATGTCAGTCTTGCTATAAAAAAAACAGAAAGTTGAAATGCACAACAAACAACACAAACAAACTCAACAAAGGCTATGTCACTTCCTATTCCTCACACATTAGATAATAAAAAACAAAAATAACATAGCTGAGGCCACAATGTTTTAATTTTGGCAACTTAAAAATAAAAAGCTCTAAATAGTTGTGTTGTGATGTACTCCAATTTACAGCGTTTATTAAGATTCAACATAGCCCAATCTCACATTTCACTGTGTATGTGCTATGTCGCTTTGCTAACTCACATTGCAAAATAATAAATATGAAGCCACAAACGGTCCTAGCCCAAGCCCTCTTGAATTCCATTGGCACTTATTTGGTGTCAATTTAGTACTGATCTTTAATTGACTAGATTCTTGTTTATAAAGCTAAAGGCTTCCTCTGTTCAGTCATTTCCAAATCTATGGGGAGGTACTCATCTCTATTTCTTAACCAAGGGAGCCAGCGTTGTCTGAAGACATTTTGCTCATCATGTGGCCAGCATGATTATACACCAAAGCACTATTACCTTCCCACCCAAGTGGTACCCATTGATCTACTTCCATTTGCATGCTTTTGAACTGCTAGGAGGGCAAGAGCTGGGGTAAGTAACAGGAACTCAACCAGTCACGAACTACTTCAACGCAAGCTGTCAGCATTTCATCTGACAAGCTCAGCATATTTAACTGCTGGACCATTGTGCCCTTTCTTGTGTATGGGCATGATTAATAAAGCTTTTGAACTGTAACTAAAGGTATGGTCCTGATACTTTGCACATGACACATACTGACAGATATAACCCAAGATACCAATACTGTTTGGGGTCCTCAAGCATTTTAAGAATGTAAAGGTATTCTGAGACCACAGTATATGAGAACTCTCTGTGTGTACATATACTGTACATGCATATATGTATGTGTGTGTGTGTGTGTGTGTGTGTGTGTGTGTGTGTGTGTGTGNGATCTCCCCATGGAGATTCGGACCCTCACCACTCTCATGGCCTTTCGCAAAGCCATTAAAACCTGGCTTTTCCGGCAGGCCTTCTGATTGGTTGTGTTCTTTTTTAACTTTGTGTGTCCTATTGTTTTTAAGTTCTTTTAATTTCTTTTTATTCTGTAAGCCGCCCGGAGTCCTTCGGGTTTGGGCTGCATAGAAACCTAATAAATTCAATTCAATTCAAACTGCTATTCCTATCTAATCCAGCAGTTTGTTTCCTCAGTGGCCAATCAACTGCATTATGAAGTCCACTGGTTTTCCACCAGATGGCCTTCAGAGAACATGACCACAACAGTAAGTGTATCTTCTGCATTCAAAAACTGCCAGGTTTGTTTGCTGGCATCTCGTTCAAAAATATAAAGAAAATAAAAGTAAAAGATCCCTGCCAAAATACACACAGCAGCAATCACACAACATACAAGACAGATCACTATGGCCACCGATATGTATATTAATATGTATACCAATATCTTTATACTTAAGAGCTTTTTAGTTAATGGACTGAACATAAATCATGTGCTAATTGTAATTGCTGAACAAACTCAAACAACCTCATTTGCACAATAATACTAAGCCATAAACAATCGAACCACATTATAGCTTAGTGCAATGCGTGAACCCAGCTACTGTTTTGCCAATTCTATTAATGAACAATGTTGAGGCCAGGAACTGCTTTAGACAATAATTTCTCCCTTGACAATAAACATGCTTGCATGTTATACACTGCTGTACAATATATTCCAAAATGCTATGTGCTGATTGGAAATAGAAAACATTTGAAAGGGGACCTCCAAATAAAGACAATATGGTCCATATTTTCAAGGCCCATTCATTAATTCTAAAGGCTGTTCTCCCCTTAACTGAAAAGCTACCACACATATTGCCTGTACCACAACCACTCAGTCCTGTTAGAACTAAGCAGAAAGAAAATCATTTGTACAAAAAAATTGAATGGCACTTTAACTCTCTCAACAGTAGCACACTTTACATCCCAAAACTGTCACTATTACTGCATTCCTATCACAGCTTCTTTTTCAGCTGCCATGTACTTCAGAAAAAGAAGAGAAAGAAAAATATTTTTTGATGAAAAGTACTTGAATTTTAGTGAATTACTTTACATAGCTTTACAGGATTTCTTAGAAATTGAACAGCACTATACAGCCCCTGGAGAATCTCAATATTTATCTGAGAGTGAGTATTATTGTCAATCATAATTTAAACAGATTAATAAATGGTTAATACATAAATTAGTATACTAATAAAAACAGAGTTTCCATTAGAACAAACTATTCCTTCTGTTCATTTAGATTATCTCTCTATCTCTCTATCAAACTTGGAGTGGCACAATGGCTCAGAGGTTAAGATGCTGGACAGGTGGGGTTCGAACCATGAGTGCTATGCAACAGGGTGAGCTCCCGTTCTTGCCCTAGCTCTGCCAACTTAGTAGTTGAAAAGCATGCAAATGTGAGTAGATAAAACAGGTATCACTTTGGCGAAAAAGGTTACTGTTTTCTGTACTTTCACGCTGATGGACACATGATGATGAAAACGTCTCTTGGATAATGCAGACTCCCTAGGCCAAGAATCGGAGATGAGAATTGCCTTTTTAAGTCAGTCCTGACTGGACATGAGAAAACTTTAAAGTTTTTAAAATTAAACTTATATGCCATCCATTTCCCCTAGAAATTAAAATGTTTTTTTTTTAATTTCTGTCTAGTGGCATAATTATTACCTATAAAATATTAGAAGCAAATAGTCTTATATTTTTGTGATTTGTTCAAAAAGGAAATAGAGTAATATGTGTAATACAATAACACAAACATGTAAGAAATTTCACAAAGATCCACTGAAGAAATATGGATATAATATGCCACTAAGGAATAGTGGAAGACAAACTAATGGGAGAACAAACTAATTGGAAGACAAACTATTTTTATTTTCTTCAAGTTGTTTGAAATGTTTTGAAAAAAACATGAATAAAATATATAGTAAAACTTTACACTGCATTAATAACAACAATTTTAGGTTTGAAATCCTATGGAATATAATGACACCTTTCGTCAACACAAAATTAACAACCCTTAGTAAATGCTTTTTTTGTTCTAGATTTCAGGGTTAAATACATTGGCATAAGCTATGAGCCTTTAACAAATTATAGCAAAATGCCATGCCTCTTTTTGTTTCTGTGACATTAACATACCTCTTAATGACCGAGGTGTGATTTATTCCAAGGCTGTCAAATGCCTAAAAGTATTTCAGAGGATACCACAAATATATATATATTTCAAAAGTAAGATTGAAACAAGAATTCTTCAGTGATTGCAGCAAAATACAACCCAACAAGATACAACATATATATACATAAACAGTACCAAAAGCATAGTTTCAGGGTTATAATATTTAGTAACGTAAAGAAGTCTCTAGCATCCAGATCCAAAGTGGTTAAAAGAACTTTGGATCTGGCATGGAAAAAGTACAACTGACAGAAAACAGAAGATGCATGTCAGTTCTGAAGTGTTTTTGCCCACTTCAAGATAGTCCGACTAGGTATTTGTATCATTGTTAATAGATTTCCCAACTCTACTGTTCTGATTCTCTTTATGTATGTGGATGAGAAAGTGGAACACAATGATTCCTGAGGCTTCTTCTTTACTATTGCAATGGCGTCAGAGGGGACAAAGTAGTTCTAGTGTTGAGAGATTATGATCAGAAAAAAATCACAAGTTCAAGTGATTTTAGTTATGTATCATGAGGTACCGTTGATGCGGGAAATGATTCCATTTACAAAAGAATTATTTTTCTTCAAAACGTAGTCCTTTAACTCCTTTAGTTTGGTCCGGATTTCTTCTTCAGACATTTCTGTCAACGGCATTGCTTTCACTTGAGAAAGGAAATCTTGAATTATTTGTTCTCCCTCCTGAAAAATAAAAATAAAAGGTACTTGTCAATTACTTAATATCAAATCATTAACCTTTAAAAACCAAGCTCTTTATTTCATCATCGACCAAACTAGACTAACAAAGCAGAATGAGATAAAACTATTAAGCCTAAAGTAGGCAAATAAACATAAATAAAAATATATAAACAAATTGAACCGTTTTTACCCAAGTCCTGACAAATCTTATTAACTATGTGGCAATTAACAAAGATAGGTATCTATATACTAGTGTATCATAGGGCAAAACTTTTTTGACCATGGTATCTAAAATGAGCTAACTTACAGAATGTATCCAAAATCCAGGACCAAAGACTCCAGTGGAATTGAAAATTGGCAGATTTTGTTAAACATTTTATAACATAATAGAGTGTCCTAAAATATTTCTGGGCGTCAACTGCTGATTTGTGACTGTGCTATATGGTTCAATATGAGCTATTTTCAAGGCAGATACATTTCTGAATATCTTCCTGAATTTAAAAAAAAATTTTTTTTTCCAGTCAAAGCAGTACTTTAGAAGCTCTGCCATTGTTGGGTATATTAAAGAATCTGGCAAGGAAATATTTCTGAAATGATGACCTAATGGGTCATTGATTGTCTAGTAACTTATAATATTGTTATATGATTTGTCTGTCTTGGTAATTATTGACCAGCTCAAAATATTTTACACCAGCATGCATCAGTATAAATGTTACTGATTTTTTCCATTACTCTTCCTATTGTTGCACTGTAATTATTTCTTTAAAGTTTTGTATCTACTTTGTGGATCTACTTCACCACCTTGCTGCCCTGTGCTTCACCCTGCACCCTTGCCACTTCTGTTGCCCCTGCCTTCCACCATGAACCTGCCACTCTGCTGTCCCTACTGCCTTGCACTTCACCCTTCATTCCCCACCTCTGCCCTACATTCTGCAGTCACTGCACTCTGCTAACCGTGCTGCTCCCAGCTGAACTTCAGTGTCTTCTTCTTCTTCCTGATGCTGACAAGGTATGTCCAGTCTGGCCCTTCATGAGGCAGTTTAGCGTTGCACCGACTTCCTAAATGCTAGGTGGTAGATATCAAGGTAGAGTGTAGAGCAGTGGAGGTGCAGGACAGGGTGCAGAGAGACATGGGCATCAGAACAGAGGACAGCCAAAAGCAGAGAGATGCAGAGAGATTTGTGGATGCAGGGAACTGAAGTGCACCCTGTTATTAAAAACTTGGGAGGGCTGCCCATTTTTATCAAAGACTGCAGGAACACCGCAACAGACATAACTTCAAAGACCAGGCATAAATACCATTGGAACAGTCTATCTGAACCAAGTCGCACACATGGCAATAGGTGCGAGTAAAGTATGTTTGTTGCACCACTCTACTTGTTATAGTAAAATGCCCCCAATTCCCCCAAGTCACAAACTCCCCTCAATGAGAGGGGAGTTCAATGAGTAAATCCAAGCACACACGTAAAGCTGATGCAGCAAGTTCCCAAGCAAATGCACCCTACAAGGAAACTCCCTGAGGCAAGTCCAGAATGAATAGTCCAAGTCCAGATCCAGATCCGAATCCAGGTCCAGGTTCAAGAGCAGCTAACAAGACAAACCCAAGGATCACAACACAAAATCAGTATACAAGGAGCAGAGCCGAAGGCATGCAGGAAACCAAATGGTTGCCTTCACCAACTGCTCCCTGCAACATGCTTGACTATGTAATCCACAACCCACACTTCTTCACTGGGAAGGGTGAGGCTGTTTCTTCACGAGCAGCCTCACCAACCTTCTCTGAACTTCCTGTCTCTCCATTCTTCACATCTGCACATCAAGCAGGGGCAGCAGCTGTTCCTCATTAGAGGCAGCCTGTTGCCGATTGTCAGTGTTAACTGATGGCAGTCGTGCCTCTCCTCCCTCTTCATGAGCAGGAGGCTGTCCATCTGTCAATTGTGGTCCCCGATGCCTGATGGACCTGAGCCTTCTCCAACCCTGGGCTCTCTCGGTGCTCCTGGGAACCCAAAGTCTCATTGTCTCATGGCCCTGGTTCCAACTCATCCTCCTCTTCCAAGACAGCAAGCGAAGGGGCCAAAAAACAACCACTGAACAAATGATGATTAAATGAGGGCTACCTGTAGTTCAATATTTATTGAACCTAGTTAGGGTTTAATATTTTCCATCAGGGCAGCTATAAGGAAAAATAGAAAGACTAGAAAGAGTCTTTTATGTTTATCCATAATTCTTCCATCTTTTTCCTATGATTATTTAAACAAGGACTATCTCAATGAAAGAAAAAAAGGATAACATTTTTTAGAACAATGGTCCCAAATCTTTTGGGCATAAGGGACCATTTCCGTGGAGAGAGGTTTTTCTGTGGACCAGAAGGGATGTGGTTTTGCATGCTGCCTGCATCCCACGAATGGGGCTTTGTTTGTTTGTGAGGCCCGGTTTCTGGCATGCTATGGACTGGTGCCAGTCCACGGTTGAGGACCCTGATTTAGAACATACTTAAAGAACCTAGTACACGATTAAGATTGCATCTCCTTTCCCTTATATTTTAACAAAGGCATATGAGCACAAATACTGTGGAAGTAGCAAAAGTTTATTGAACTGGCTCATTGATTAATAGTTTTACCCCACCCACATGCCAGGTGGAGAAGGTCCTAAAACCGGCCCCTGTTCACTCTATTTCTGCCACCCACAAGTTCTCTAAGAATGTTCACTTAAAACAGCCCTAATTACCACCTTCTAGGAAAAAATATATTCGGCTAGAAATGGTATTAAAAAAACACACCCATTTTATTTAATAAGCCCTTGGAACAATAGGCTAATTCCAAATTGAGCTGACAAAAGAAGTGAGGAGAAAAGATGCACTCATACTTGCTCAGATAGCAAATATTATTCATATCTGTAATAGCTGAAGAAGGCATATGATCAATGTCATAGTGACTAATACCTGATACATACCTGCATTGCAAAGTTCTCTCTTTCCAAAGACAGAGATATCTTGATTCCTATGAATGACCTATATGTTTTTCTTTTCAGTTGCAAAGTCATTCTTTGACACTGGTCAAATGAATCCATCAGCTCAACTTCAATCTTTATAACCTTATATAAAAACTTGGTTGACTAATCTCTAATGTTCTTTGTTCTTAACAGCAGGAGACCAATGACTCAGTATAACTTGTTAGCTTTAATGAAACAATAGCTGCATCATCTCTAATTGTTAACATGTTCTGACATGAGCTTTTCCACCATAACTATGAATATTTCTGGTGTCACATCTAAAAAAGGCTATGAGGGAAGTGCAAAAAGTGGAAAAGAGAGCAACCAAAGTAATCAGAGGGCTCAATTATTTCTCTACCACAAATTGAAGTGATGGCCATTAGCTTTAAAAAAGAACCTTAAAGCTTTGTACAGATCAAGTCTATCAAAAGCTGTTAGTTTTAAAATTCAATGTTGTCTCCAATTACTACTGCAGGGGTACAACAGGAGGAGATGCCTTTTCCTCCTTATAAACACCTCAGAAGCTGGCCAGGGTAAGAGAGAAAACGCTGGATTAAAATGAACTTTAGATTGATCTTGCAAAGCCACTCTTATGCCAAAACAAACAAGGAAATTAATATTTTCTTCAATAAGGGGTGAGCACCAGAAATAGCATACAAGTTTAAAAAACTGCTTGAAATGACTTGCTGCTGATTCCCTAAGATTTCTCTCATAAAAATATCTTACAACCTGAAGCCAGATCTCCGTTTAGCAATGTTCTCTGTTTCAAATTCCTCTCGTATTCTTCATCTTCTCTAGGTCCAACTCTTTTTAAGTCACAATGATAATCTACGTTTATTTTCAACTCAGGATTGCATTTTTTACTTTTATTTTTTTGATAAAAGTCAAGATTATTGATTGTAAGTATGAGCTACATTTTTTATTCAAAAGATTTGTATGGCTGCTCATCTTAAAAGTATACATCTGTTGTCAAGTCTCAATGGTTGTGATGATACATCACAACGAGCCAAAATGACATTATGATAAGATATATGAACTTGGCAAATATGTTCCAAAGAATTATGCAAAGCAGAATATTGACATTTTAATAAATGAACAGTAAAATCCAACAAACCTGCTTCTCCCTGTGGCATCTTTTGGCAGCTGGTTCTTCATCCTCCTCCTGAGATATTCCAATGTTCTGGAAGTCCTCCAGTTCCAGAGCTTTCGCCTTGGCACATTCAATCACATGTTTGGGAAAGGCTGCTAATTCTGCTACATGGATACCAAAGCTCTGGTCACAGGCCCCTGAAGAAGCATCAGGAGGAAATCATTTTAATTTGAATGTTAACTTAATAACTTCAGACCACACAAGAGCAGAACATGGACCCAAAACAAGATACTGACAAGTATTCAGGTCAATAGCAACAATACAGGTAATCCTCTACTTACAACCATTTGTTTTCAAAGTTATAATGTTCTTCTCACTTAGGACTATTGCAGCATCCCCTGGTCACATGATCATAATTTAGATGCTTGGCAACTGGTTCATATTTATGACAGTTGCAGTGTTCCAGGGTCATGTGATCACCTTTTGCGACCTGCTGACAAGAAAAGTCAATGGGCAAACCAGATTCATTTAACAACTATGTTACTAACTTAACAAATGCAGTGATTCACTTAACAATATGGCAAGAAAGGCCATAAAATGGGGCAAAATTCACTGAACACTTAAAAAACTATCTCACTTAGCAACAGAAATTTTGGGATCAATTGTAATCATAAGTAGAGGACTACCTGTAATCAACCCTTTGAACTTGGATAAAACTACATTCCCAAATTTATTATAGTTGAAAAATGCATCTAAAATTGATAGAAAATAAAATTGACAATTTTTCTATTTTTGTACAATGTATAAAGTGCAATGTAATTTCCACGCCAATCTTTAACCATTGTAATAAATTTTCCTTATATTATTGTACAGTGAAATATCATCTAATGATTGCAAAATGTAGTGACTATAATTATAAATAAATAATAAATGCATATTCAATTCTATATACATAGCCAAGATAAATTATATTTTGAGCAGAGTGTTGGACTAGAAGACCTCCAAGAGCCCTTCCAACTCTGTTATTCTGTTATAATCCTGCACAAAAACTAACTTTCAAATTATTATTGACTTGACTGGTTATTCCAATGCAAATATTCAAGCTGATATGCATTATGAATTTAAGTCCTTCCTTACAAAAATTGAATATTAAAATGGGACAAATTGAAGATTGACAATTTTAATTTTATATATGAGATTTTTAACTCTCATAATATGTGTTCTTAATTTTAAGTATATATTTTAAAAGTTGTAATCAATGAAACCATTTCTGTATCACTACCCTCTAATACAGGGGTATCAAACTGGCAGCCCACGGGCCAGATGCATCATGCGCAGACCACGCCCAACCCAGTTCCACAAAGGCAAAAAAGTCACATGATGCGATCAAGTTGGACATTCATGCCTAATACCTCATTTCCAATTTCTAACAACTGTTTACTTAGATCATTTTATCAACTATTCTTTATTTGAATCTGCTGAAATCAGTCCCACTCAACAACTCAGCTGGCATTTCTCATAAAGATACTGTTAACATAGATCAGATCCTAAGAGCTATATTTTCATAAAATCAAAGAAAGTAGAAATATAGGAAAGTATATTTTACAATCTATAAAGAGAAATATCTAAGACAATTTTTCAACTTTGCAAAGAAACAATCACCCATTCTACAATAAAATAAAGCAGATTTTCTCTGTCCCAGTTAAGTAATGCATTTCACCTTTTTTCACACGGTATAACATTGTCAGTGTGTCCTTTGAAGTTAATGCCGTAACATGCAAGTTATTTACAGTGGGTATTTGATCAGCGAGGGCTGTCAATTCATGAAAATGAGTAGCAAACATAGCAAAAGCTTTCATTTTGCTGGCAATATATTCAGAAATTGCCCAGGCCAATCCAAATCCATCATATGTTGATGTTCCTCTCCCTAACTCATCAATGATTATCAAAGAATGCTCAGTTGCAGTCCTAAAAGAAAAAGAAAAGATATTAGATTTTATTTTTAAAATAGAACAATTCGAAACAGTTTTTCATAACGCATTTGTGTGCATTATATCCACTAATATTTGGACTTTAGTTTGCACCTTTTATTTGCACTTGCTTACAAATTTCTCTTGTGTGTGCACAAGAAATTTATACTGCAGTTGACATGCCAGTTTGGAAATACGCATTTTAAGTTTGTACAAAAATGTGATCTGATGAATTTCCCCTTATCTCTAAAAAAAAAAAAGCAGAGTTTTTCTATGATCTAAACCTAAAGATGGGTTTGTACAAGCAGACCTTAGAAGGACATATTCAGGACAAAGGAAATCTCGAAGGAAGTCTAGTTTGCAGAATGCTGCAGCCCTTGTTCAATTTCTACAATTTCAATCTCCCACACCCCACCCCAAATATCAGTATTCTCTGCTTACTGGGCTGTTTGAACTAGAGGTTTTCAAGATTTTGTGATTCCTCTTGAATCTCCGTGGCCCAATACAATTTCCTTTGGCACAAAGGCAGTTCTTGTGCAAGCGATCAGTTGTGCAAGCAATTAATTTGCGATAGAAGAGAATAAAGCCCTGAGGGTAAGTATAGAAAAGAGCTGTTGATTTTTTAGGAGCAAGAACAAAAGGAAACAGCAACTTTTCATAGAAGCAATATAGCTAGGAGAAAAAAATGGGAGAATGAAAGATAGTTGTAGCAATAGGTAAGTGAAGGCAGATCTTACAGTCATCTGTATGTTCTTTAGAAGAGGCAGATCAGTAAGCCTGGAGAACAGTCTTAACCTTTCAAACTTCTGCTAAACAAATGTTGTCACTGCTCTTACCTAAGGATGGAGGAAGTCTCCAGCATTTCTGCCATGAAAGTAGATACCCCTTTCAGTTGACTATCTCCAGCTCCAACTCGAGCCAGGATGCAATCAACAATAGTCACTTCTGCAGAGTCACACGGCACAAAACATCCAATTTGGGCCATAAGAACAATCACCCCAGTCTGCCGTATGTAAGTTGATTTTCCTCCCATGTTTGGTCCTGCAGAGCAAGTATTCCCCAAAAGTTAAACAAAATAAACTTCATATTTACCATGTTTTTTACAGTCTTTAACTAGAATGTTTATTCTATATAATTAGAATAATTATTGCTAACGCTCCCTTATTTCAATTTCTGCAGACAAATGTTTTCAATATCTGCTATCATTTGCAGTGATAATTTTCTGTTAAGTCTAGGTAATAGAATGTCTATGTCTCCACCCACAATCTAGAGCTCCCAAAACACCAGCTGTATGGGCAGCAATAAAGGATGCTGGGAGCTATAGTTCAGGCACATCTGGAGGACCAAGAGTGTTTCGCAGTTGCACAAGGGTCTAACAGACAACTGAATTTTAAAACAGGCAACTTTTCTGAATAAACGAAGCTTGGATGCCAGGATTCTCCTAGTGACTCACATTTATGATCAAATGCAGACAGCAGGAAAAGGACTTATTTTCCCAGCAATGAAAGCAACAGAGCCTCTGGGATCGCCCTTTCTTTTATTATAAGCTCTGCTTCTCATGCCCATTTGCCTCCTCATGGTTCATGACCAACTGATGAATGGAAGGAGATAGGTCTGCCAAGGTTAACCAGAGGTGAAAGGTCCCTTGCCCATGGCCTAACCTGGAAGAACTGTGACAAATGGGATTCTGCATTTTTAGTTCTATGGTGTTTTTTTTAAAATGGGGTGTGTCTTTTTAAGTACAGGATTTACAGCAAACTTCATGAAACTAATAAGCACTAAAAAAAAAATTAGCCTTAGACTAATGCAATCCTCTCTCTTCCCACCCAGAAAAAAATAAGCTTAAATTGAAGCAATGTCAAAATTAGAAATGGTCAGTTTCTTTTAAAAATAAAACAAAATGCAAACGAAATTACTGTAGGTTAGATTGGAAAACCAAAATAGTCTCTCTACACTGTTTTGTACATTTTCTACATTTTCACACTGTTGCCAAGAAATCATCATATATTTACCGAGTCTGTAAATACTAGGAAAGCGTAGGTATGTCCAGTTTCGGGGGGGGGGGGGGGAGCTCTCCCCAGCAAACATAAAATCACAGCAAAAAATTTTCACCAAAGGTGTTATGGGAAAAGAGAGGGTGGGAAATGCCTAGAGATCTGAGAGTAAGATAATCAAGGTTGCATCCTTCAGACTTCCACGTGTTTATTTATAAGGGAGGGAATTAAAATCTTTGGGGTAATTAAAGCACCATAAAATTACTTGGGCATTTTGCTGAGATAGCATTGTACAGGAGAGTGGAAAAGTCTGGCTTTCTTACAGGAAAATAAAGGAGAGTAGATGTTTCAAATACCACAGGGATACATGAGAATTGAACAGAACATTCAAAAGCCAAACTGGTCATCTGTGCCCTCACTTGCATAGACCTCATCTAAAAACTCTAAAGTATTTTACAGATTAAAGCGCTGCAGATCATTCGTTTTCAAGGTATGAGTCATTCAATCTGAAGAACTGCTATAGAAAACAATAAGTAAAAACAAAACCCCACTGATTTACAACTGAGCTGGGGGTGGAGAGGGGAAAGATTACTTTTATTTGGGACTTCCCAGAAGAGGAATTGAGGAGGATTAAAAAAAAAAAACAAGAACAGGGACAAACTGAGGGTAGGAGTTTGCTCCAGACTTTTTCCACAGAAAGCCCAACCCCCACCCAGACAGCCACAGCTGTACCAAGTTTATTGCTTTATTTGCATATCATGAAAATCATCCCCACTAATTTGGAGAGCAGCAGTGCATCAATTCCCTCTTTAAAAGTGAAATTCGGTTGCATGAGGCTTACTTGAAAATGCCTCCCTCTAGAGTCTAAAATTGACTGCGCACCTAAACACAAAATACTCTTTTGGAACAACTATTATGCCATCTTTCTCTGTCTTTTTAAAGGCAAAGCTTCAAGCGTTTTAAAGAATCTACATTAAAAAAAATACAGTTCAAACCGGGCCAGAGGAAGAAAGACCATAAACATGATATAAAAATGAAGTCTCACCAGTAATGATGTGGAACATCTGTTTGTCCTTCTCAAAAGTGACATCATTAGGGATGAAGGCAACATCATCTTGAACTTCAATGCAGGGGTGCCTGGAAGCTTTCAAGGTAATTCTTCCTTGCCCTTTTTCTAGAATAACTGGGCGCACATATGGTATTGGTGCTGCATTTGATGCATGAGCAAAACTGACAATGGCATCTAGCTGGGCAATGACATCATTGAGAATTTGTATGGGTTCTTTATACCCTATTGAAAAGAAAGAGTGTTCAGATATTTTTATCACTATGCAGAAAACCAAATGGAATTCCTAATGTTATTTTAGTACCATTCTCTTTAACCAACTGTGGTCAGTTTGACATAGAATTTCACCCAATATATTCTTTTCATTTAGAGTTGGATTTTTATTCCATTGTAATTTTTTAACCATGGGAAATAGACTGATCATTAGCAAATAAAGTTAGTCCTACTTGGGTGGGAAATCAATAAAATAGATCAAGGCTGTGGGCTGAACTAAAAAGGGGAAAAACCAGGAATCCACTTCCATACCATTGTTCCATTTATGAAAGCATCAGGAATCAAATTGATTTTTTTATAGCTAGAGAGAAAAGCTCCCTGGGAGTTCCAGCTTGATAGTCGCAGATTTATATGTTTCAGTTTTAAAATCCTTCAGATGTTAGATTCAAACTCAGTCAAAGCTAAGTTCCAGCAACCAATGGGGCTTAGGCTGCTGAATCCAGATGATTCAATTAGTCCTTCATATCCAACAGTGTCTAATATACTAATGCTGTCAACAGGTATCAAAAGCCCATTAATGTAAGAAACTCTCAGAGCAGGATATAAAGGATGCCAACGGACAACCCTGGCACTTAGAACTGAGAAAGAAAAATGGAAGACAGAAAGTCCATTACACAAAAGGGAAAAGGTTTGAATGAAGATGAGATACAACTTCTACATTAGACTCATATCTCTCAGTAAAGTCAGTTCTTGAGTTACCATATTTAGTTTCTATCTATGTTGTTTCAAGGGTCTGAGAAGCTTTAGCCAAATTCATGCTGCCTTAAATGAGCCTGAAAAACAGCATGTCACAAGCAGTAGGTTTTGTTGTTATATCTGGATTGTAGCGGATTGCCTAAGGGTATGTTTGAATGTAACTATGAGTTTGTTGAGGAATAGCAAATTAAAGGATTAACAAGCCAACAGAGGGGAAAAGTATGGTACTGGTGGCACTGCATTTTCATTTTCTGAAATACAACAAGTTGTGGGCCAGGCCTGTGAATAGACTTACAAAAGCTACCAGCCTCCTCAAACTATAATTAAAACAAAGCTGGATCTTCTTACTACGTGAAGGAATAACGAAGCTGTTTCCATGCCATATGTATTTTTGAGGGCTTAGATCTCCTTCCAAGTAAGGCCTTCATTCAGTCATCACTTCATATACATACATACATACATACATACATACATACATACATACATACATACATACATGTGTGTGTGTGTGTGTGTGTGTGTGTGTGTGTG